ACTACTATCTAGTTTGTTATATCTATTGTAGTGCCGTAGATGATGTAGGCGCTGACAACATACTCATGCACTAAAATGTCGGTAATAAGTCGCGACACTTCATTACTTACAGTACAGCCGACGATAGCACTGTGATATGCGATATAGCTATCGGTGATTTGGATATAGCTCTGCTATGTTTCTATCTGTCTTAATGTCCATATACATATACACGGTTGTGTTTTTGATTCTAGCATTTGCAGGCTATCGCAGAGTATGCTATTATACGAACTGGTCGCTGTATCGGCAAGGGCTTGGCCAGTACTTCCCCAACAATACAGACCCTCACCTATGTACTCACATCATCTTCTCCTTCGCCAAACTCGTCAAAGGTGAATTAGCTTTTTATGCAGAGGAGGACAAAGACCTGTAAGTTGATTTTAATGAAACAGCATGGACCTATTATAATTGGACTACATATACATGTTTCATTCGTTCATATTTTGCCCATGTGTTGTCGATTTGGAGTTTGAATTACTGTTCTGTTGACGTATTTCTTTCTTTCTTATTTCACGTATTTCTTTCCTATTTCACTTGTTTCTTTCTTATTTCACGTATTTCTTACTTACTTCACGTATTTCTTTCTTATTTCACTAAGTTCTAGTTATTTCACATATTCCTTACTTATTTCACATATTTCTTACTTACTTCACGTATTTCTTTCTTATTTCACAAAGTCCTAGTTATTTCACATATTCCTTACTTATTTCAAGTATTTCTTTCTTATTTCACGTTTTTCTTTCTTTCTTATTTCACTTGTTTCTTTCTTATTTCACGGATTTCTTGCCTACTTCATGTATTTCTTTCTTATTTCACAAAGTCCTAGTTATTTCACATATTCCTTACTTATTTCACGTATTTCTTTCTTAATTCACATTTTTCTCTCTTTCTTATTTCACTTATTTCTTTCTTATTTCACGTATTTCTTACTTACTTCACGTATTTCTTTCTTATTTCACAAAGTCCTAGTTATTTTACATATTCCTTACTTATTTCACGTATTTCTTACTTACTTCACGTATTTCTTTCTTATTTCACAAAGTCCTAGTTATTTTACATAACTCATAAAGCTATTTCATAATCAAGGTACAAAGAAATAAACAACCTGAAGCTGTTTAACCCGAGTCTGAAGACATTGATTGCTGTCGGCGGATGGAACCAGGAAAGTACGGAATGGTCAGCCATGGTGTCAAAAACAAACAAAATGAACAAATTTATTGTGAAGTCCATGTCCTTCTTACGTAAACATGAGTTTGATGGAGTCGATCTGGACTGGGAATACCCCGCGCTACGTTCTGGCGCCAATGCTACCACTGACAAACACAACTTCGGATTACTCTGCAAGGTATGTAAACTGGGGGGAATGCTTACGATCAACTGTTATAAAGAAAATTTTATCAAAAGTGAAAAATGAAATAATTTCAATACTCTAAACCAAATAAAAGTTGATGTTTGTGAAATATATCATTAGGATAACTAACCAGTATGTACGGTCACTGTTTTATCCGCCAAAGGGAGGTAACTTATGACTGAAGCGGGAATTTTACATGACATTACACCTATTTATTCAAAGAGTTAGACAGTTAAAACAGGTTATAATGTGGCCATGTTTCATTAAAAAGCCTACCTTACCAAAACTGTAAATAAATAATGATTACGTCCAACAGAAAACAATTCTAGGTATAGCACGTAGTTGAGATATTTCCATATGATTGTAGAGAATAGTTTTTTGGGCTTATCATTTTCCCTCAAAAAAAAAAAAGGCAGCTGGAGTCAATTTTGTAATTATGGTAACAATGTTAACTGGAAAGTGACATTTGGTTACAGTATTTTCGTGCACAAGCACGTCCTTGATGTGAAAAAACCCAAACAACAACAGCAAAAACCCACACAAACTTTGTTACTGAGGTATCCATCGAATATATATAATGAGGAAACCTTAAAGTTAAAACTTAGAATTCCTCTGATCAAATAAATCCAGATAACGAATTTCACTAATGATCATGCTATATATATAATAATAATTCGAGGTTTTTATATACCGCTTTATCACAACCTAGTTCGTAGGTCGTCTCAAAGCGGTTCACAGGGCCTTTGCAACCAGCCAATATCGTTCTCAACCCCCTGGGGAGCATACAGCCGGTGCTGCTATTTCGGCGCTCACAGTTAGCATTCTACAATTCTAGCACTGCTCAACCACCTAATTATTTACAGCTGAGTAGACTGGAACAAGCGGAGTAAAGTATCTTGCTCAACTAACACAGCGCCGTGCCGTGACTCGAATCCGCAACTCTTCGGTCACGAGCCCGGCGTCCTACCACTAGACTACCGTGCCTCCTATAGGTATACAAAATTAGCAAACTAACAAAATACGTCTTCATTTTGATAAATATTATGAGCTCAACACATTTCCAGCACTGACATAAACCCGGAGGAAATACCTGAAGACACCAAAATTGTAGATAAAGTTTTGTTTCAACACAGACTTTCGTTCTAGAACCATATAAATCCCGAAAGCTACACCCTTGACAAATAGGATGGTATTAAACTACTTAAAAATTCTAAAAAACAATTACATCCGATGAAGATGAATGACTTACTAATATCATACTTTGAGTTCAGAACTCACATGAATATCTGAAAAGATCATACTTACCGGAATCTATTTTGTAACTTGAGTCGTAAATGTTGCGGAGGAATTTGTATAACATGTCGAATGTATCTCCTAGAAACTACGCCTAGCGTACGAGCGAGAGGCAAGGGTGACTGGCAAACCACGACTCCTGGTCACGGTGGCAGTAGCGGCTGCGAAGAAAATCATCGATGTTTCCTACGAAGTGCCAACAATAGCCAGGTATAAAACAGTGCATGTGATTATAAAACAGAAATAACGAAGTGCCAACAATAGCCAGGTATAAAACAGTGCATGTGGTTATATAACAGAAATAACGAAGTGCCAACAAAAGCCAGGTATAAAACAGTGCATGTGATTATAAAACAGAAATAACGAAGTGCCAACAATAGCCAGGTATAAAAAAGTGCTTGTAATCATATAACAGAAATAACGAAGTGCCAACTATAGCCAGGTATCAAACAGTGCATATGGTTATATAACAGAAATATGTTGCGGAGGAATTTGTATAACATGTCGAATGTACCTCCTAGAAACTACGCCTAGCGTATGACCGAGAGGCAAGGGTGACTGGCAAACCACGACTCCTGGTCACGGTGGCAGTAGCGGCTGCGAAGAAAATCATCGATGTTTCCTACGAAGGGCCAACAATAGCCAGGGATAAAACAGTGCATGTGATTATATAACAGAAATAACGAAGTGCCAACTATAGCCAGGTATCAAACAGTGCATATGGTTATATAACAGAAATATGTTGCGGAGGAATTTGTATAACATGTCGAATGTCCCTCCTAGAAACTACGCCTAGCGTATGACCGAGAGGCAAGGGTGACTGGCAAACCACGACTCCTGGTCACGGTGGCAGTAGCGGCTGCGAAGAAAATCATCGATGTTTCCTACGAAGGGCCAACAATAGCCAGGGATAAAACAGTGCATGTGATTATATAACAGAAATAACGAAGTACCAACAATAGCAAGGTATCAAACAGTGCCTGTGATTATATAACAGAAATAAAGAAGTGCCAACAATAGCCAGGTATAAAACAGTGCATATGGTTATATAACAGAAATAACGAAGTGCCAACAATAGACAGGTATAAAACAGTGCATGTGATTATATAACAAAAATAACGAAGTGCCAACAATAGCCAGGTATAAAAAAGTGCTTGTGATTATATAACAGAAATAACGAAGTGCCAACTATAGCCAGGTATAAAACAGTGCATATGGTTATATAACAGAAATAACAAGTACGTACAGGTACATTTATATGTAAATACTTAATATTTAGTTGTGTTTTCAAATAGATTTAGAAGTATTGGAAGACAATAATGGCTGTACATGGTACATATATGTTATGGTATTATATATATTTTCATGGTTCTCGTAGATAATGGAAATCAGCATATCAGCATATCATATTATTCCGGTCGACAGTTGCTCTTTCTACCATTTAATGTATATTCTGTTTTAATTATAGAATTGTTCCATCCAAAGCGATAATCACAAAAGTATTATTATTTTGTCCTAAAACGCAAGTCATTCTGTCATTTATGGTAAATTGTTCCGTTCTAAGAGGGGAGATGCATCAATATTATAAAACATACATATGGAAATGTACATGGGTTGTATCAATATTATACAGTATACATATGGAAATGTACTTGAGTTGTATCAATATTATAAAACATACATATGGAAATGTATTTGAATTGTATCAATATTATACAGTATACATATGGAAATGTACTCGGGTTGTATCAAAATTATAAAACATACATATGGAAATGTACTCGGGTTGTATCAAAATTATAAAACATACATATGGAAATGTACATGGGTTATATCAATATTATACAGTATACATATGGAAATGTATTTGGGTTGTATCAATATTATACACTATACAAATGGAAACGTACTTGATTTGTATCAATATTATAAAACATACATATGGAAATGTATTTGAGTTGGATCAATATTATACAGTATACATATGGAAATGTACTCGGGTTGTATCAAAATTATGGAACATACATATGGAAATGTATTTGAGTTGTATCAATATTATAAAACATACATATGGAAATGTATTTGAGTTGTATCAATATTATAAAACATACATATGGAAATGTATTTGAATTGTATCAATATTATAAAACATACATATGGAAATGTACTTGGGTTGTATTCATATTATAAATATACATATGGAAATGTATTTGAATTGTATCAATATTATACAGTATACATATAGAAATGTATTTGAGTTGTATCAATATTATACAATATATATATGGAAATGTATTTGAGGTGTATCAATATTATACAATATACATAAGGAAATGTACTTGGGTTGTATTAATATTATACAATAGACATATGGAAATGTACTTGGGTTGTATCAATATTATACACTATACAAATGGAAACGTACTTGATTTGTATCAATATTATAAAACATACATATGGAAATGTACTCGGGTTGTATCAAAATTATAAAACATACATATGGAAATGTACTTGGGTTGTATATATATTATAAATATACATATGGAAATGTATTTTAATTGTATCAATATTATACAATATACATATGGAAATGTATTTGAGTTGTATCAATATTATACAATATACATATGGAAATGTACTTGGATTGTATCAATATTATACAATATACATATGGAAATTTATTTGAGTTGTATCAATATTATACAATATACATATGGATATGTTAATGTTACAATTACAAACAATGCTTTTTTTATTGATCAGGTATGTGGATTTCATTAACTTGATGAGTTACGACATGCACGGCAGCTGGCTAACATATACTGGGCACCACTCACAATTGTTTGCAAAGGGGTTCAACAGCAATAATCCAGAAGAATTATATCTCGATATCGTAAGTGCATTTACAAAAAAACCCATTTAGTTTCTAAATACATGTAGGATCTTTCAGATGTAGCAGACATTCAATATGTCCTTGATATCTTGGATTTACGAAATGTTAATTTTAGTGACGCGTTATCTATGTTAAAAATACCGTCTGATGCAAACTTAAAACCCAAGATTACTGCGCAGTAATAATGTAATAATGATCAACCCATTTCATTGTTTTTTCCCCTATTGATGCTATCAATTTGACCTTTGATCATTTAATGTTTTCCTTCCACCACCGAAAATTGGCACGTCCTTAAATGACTATAGCTGTTGATAGGACGGAAAGCACGAACAAACTAAACAAAGTATTGTAGCGTGATGTAGGAGTTTCGTTTTGTGTTAACACAGGACTGGGCAGCTCGTTATTGGGTGCTACTTGGTGCCCCAAGGGAACTGATCAACATAGGCCTGTCATTCTACGGTCGAGGATTTACTCTGAAAGACCCTGATAGTAATGGAATTGGAGCGCAATCAAAGGGACCTAACCGACCCGGTCCTTTTACGAGGGAATCAGGGTATATGGCATACTATGAGGTAAACACAATCATTTGTAACGTTCCGTTTTTTTCCATGCGACTGATTAGCGTTATAGCATGAAAGATCTAAACATATCTACGCCGATGTTATAAATTTAAATTAAGAGGTTTTTGACCCAATAACTACATTCTTTAGTGGAAACTCTGAATAAAATTGTCAAAATAATTCGAATTCAGTTGACTAAGATAAAGTTGAGTGAATAATGGTACTTTTATGTACAGATCTGTATGCTGCTAACTCGGGGAGGAGAGACATACAGGGATACTGGCGAGCCATATTACATCAACGGCAATCAATGGATCGGATATGATGACGAACAGAGTATAGCAAACAAGGTTAGCACCTGCTGTTTCCTAATAAGTACATGCTATGTACGTGTATCCAATATTGTACGCAGTTTGTTCGATGTTGCCTAACTGGTACATGCTGAGTACGTGTATCCAATGTTGTTCGCAGTTTGTTGCGATGTTACCTAACTGGTATATGCTGTGTACGTGTATCCAATGTTGTACGCAGTTTGTTGCAATGTTGCCTAACTGATGCATGCTGAGTACGTGTATTCACTGGCGTTCGTTGTTTGTTGCGATGTTGCCTAACTGGTACATGCTGAGTACGTGTATCCAATATTGTACGCAGTTTGTTCGATGTTGCCTAACTGGTACATGCTGAGTACGTGTATCCAAGGTTGTACGCAGTTTGTTCGATGTTGCCTAACTGGTACATGCTGAGTTCGTGTATCCAATGTTGTACGCAGTTTGTTGCGATGTTACCTAACTGGTATACGCTGTGTACGTGTATCCAATGTTGTACGCAGTTTGTTGCAATGTTGCCTAACTGATGCATGCTGAGTACGTGTATTCACTGGCGTTCGTTGTTTGTTGCGAGGTTGCCTAACTGGTACATGCTGAGTACGTGTATTCACTGGCGTTCGTTGTTTGTTGCGATGTTGCCTAACTGGTACATGCTGATTACGTGTATCCTCTGGCTTTCGTTGTTTGTTGCGATGTTACCTAACTGGTACATGCTGATTACGTGTATCCACTGGCGTTCGTTGTTTGTTGCGATGTTACCTAACTGGTACATGCTGTGTACGTGTATCCACTGGCGTTCGTTGTTTGTTTACATGTTTTCTTAAGCATTGGACTGTTTTGGTATGGAATTTATGATCTATTTGAATGACACAGTTTTGTAAGCTTACAACACAATGCACGCTGTGAGACATTTCTACAGTCGTTCTTTGCTGTTGTAGAGGTTTGTTATTGTGATATAGTTTATTGAGTTTAACCGTACCATTTGTACCATTTAGTTACATTCTAACATTGTATTTATACCACTTGTTCCCGTAAGGTACCTCGGACAGATTTACTGGTGTACTCTGTTTATTAGATGTTTCCTAACAGATACGTGAACGGCCTATATTATTTTACATTGTTGTTTGAGGAATTTGTAACTTAAATATAAGAAATTACTACTGTTGAACTATATTGTTTTGACAGGTTGCCTGGTTGATACGTGAGGGTTTCGGTGGTGCCATGATGTGGGCGCTCCCCTTAGACGACTTTAATCAGGAATGTTCTTTGTCAAGTAGGAAATTCCCACTGGCAAATAGAGTGAGAGACGATCTACTAGCTGCTGAGAAGCTAGCAAACAAAGAATCCTCGCCTACAACTACAGACAATCAGTGGTCAATATTGGGGGATATATTTTGAAGATAAATAGAGCACATATTCACAAGTCTACGGAGTTTCAGTTATCAATTAACGTTCATTATTAATGAACACCAATCGGAATGATGAACTCAACGAAGAGACTATTTTCGTGACAAAGTTATGTCCATTAAAAATAAAACATTATATACTTTATAGTTATGGTCGTAATCGCACAAAAAACAAATCAGTATGTTCCCTTTCTTGGTATAGTTTTAAAGTTAACCAAATTTAATGTTATGCAAATTGAAAAACAAATAAAATCCAATGATGACTGTTTTCTGTTTATTATTTTGTTTTTGATGTTTTCATTCTTATCGTCGTCTCGTTTAGTAATTGCAGTTCGTTTATTGATAAAAATAGAAAAGACAAAGATTATAATAAAAGTATTCAACCAATCTGATTGTTTAAATAAATATGTTTATTAACATACACTATTCATAAAGCCGGTATACTATTTTATCATCTTTATACTACTTATACCAACTTCCGGTAGCACGACAATTTCAATATTATGTGATGTCAGTATGAGAACACTCATGAGATGATACGAAGGACTCGAGAACGACCTTAGAATGGATTTTCCGATTAGGGAATATATTTTCTTTAACAAAAGAACGTCTGCTCGCGCCAGAATGGGAAATAGTATACATAGATGTGTTCCGGAAAGGCAAACAGTCTGTCATATACAAATCATAATAAAATTATGAAAAAAATTATTGTAGGTAAACAACACCATTCAGGCGCAAATGTGCTTACAGAGTAGCAAATGACGATGGTATTGTTTTAATAATGTCTTTCTGCATAGTATTTGTCTGCGCAAATCTTACTCTCCCATCTGTTTACGTGTATTCTGGATGAGCATGACGCAAAGAAGACAGTAGGACGATATGGTATTTAGTTGATGAACGGAGAAATATAATATAAATTAATGGGTGGACAGAACGAAGCTCATGTCTTTAAAAGCTATCACTTTTCATATGTTTACTAAATCATTCCACATTTGCATACTCTGGCTCGTAAACAATCTCCTTAAAATCAGATGTTAGTAAAAATACCTTCGGCTATTAACATGTCATGCGGTACGTAATAATGAACAGCTGTGTTTATTCAGATTGGCTAGTAAATACAATAAGAACATCAAATAGAACATCATAATTTCATCAAAAATCTAGTATTTGTCTGTCCGCTTAAATCTTCTGATTTTCTTTCCTTGTAACATGCTCATTATAGATGATCGATGAACAGTTCATCGTTGACATGAACCATTAAGAGAAAGGAGGGTGCCAATTTGGGCCTTCTGGTTGGCTATATACCTACCTTTGGGTTATGCACGCATGATATGACATGAAATTAAGGTAAGCATGGAGACCATTCCGTGATATGAGCGGGTAAAGTAGGGGACCAAAATCACAAATGTTCTTTTTTTTGACATACGTCAAACTACGTGTTATTTTTTGAATGTTTCAAAATATTTCAGAATAATTGTTCACATAATTAAGGGAATATATAACAAGGTCACAGTGACCTACCTATCAACTATGTGCTCCCTTTTTCATCCACTTTTATTATTTGCAGCTTAGGTGTTATGTGTATTATGGCATTGCGATCCTTTTATGATGCATCTTTGTGACTATGGAGGCATTTGGGTGCTTCTGTAATGGTCCCCCATTACAATTAGTACTTGTTATATATTCGAATGAAAAAATAAATAATGCTCCACGTAGATTTGTAAACATTGGCGCATTTATTACCAATCTTCAGACTCTTTACACCTAGTCTTATACATAGATACAAGTTAAGACGTCATTAATAAAAAACCTAAATGTACGCGTTTCTGTTATTTTGTAACTTTGCAAAATATCTATCGAACAACACCTAATAAATAAAGATTTATTCTCCATTTGTTGAGCAATGAAAATGTATGACATATAAATTGGTTTCGGACATACATTGATTTTGACGAATTCCGGCCCCGTTCTTTCAGATTGTTTTTAATCTGTATTTCGTTTATATACCAAAAATTTCAAAAGCACGAGACATGTAGTGGTTTTAATTTTTGTATAACTTTTCATTGATTTACATATTTAGTTTCACGTTTTGTTCAACGACCGTTCATTTGATGCTCTTCAGTAATACATAATTATTCTTAACAAGTTATATGCTTTTTAACTTAGGGGAGACTATCTATTCATTTTCCGTTTTTCTTACGACGAAATTCTAGCTTAAAATGCTTCTTTTCAACATCATTTTTGAATACGAATTAATAATGATAATGACCTGCCTCATTTGTTTTTGATTCCGAAACTTCATAAGAATTGTTATAAACAACATTTTATCGCTGACTCTACTAGTTATTCACCCAACTACTTATCCAAACTTTTATTATCATTCTTTGTACTGGTAAATTAGGGGTTCAGTCGCATTGACATACTATATACTCCGGAAGTGGCATTGGTGGAAGGTAGGTTTTGGAGAACTCAATAGATAATTGAATCAATCTTAAGCATCCTCTCCTCTAAAACGTTTCCTCTGGAAACTTTTAACTTTTCCACAACTTACTAATACCACATTCTACAAAACTGAAGGAAAGCACTTTGTTACAAACTATTTTGTGGGATGGAATATTTACCGAGGATGAAATCCTGAGAATGAATCAGTTCCTCTATAGCAATACATGTATCTTTGTTGAGTTTGATGGCAAGATTGTCCATCCGATTGTCGAAATTCCTATGACAAAACCCGTCACTTGTTTTAGCCGACATGCTTTTCATTTCTGAAATGAGGCTGAAGTTATTGTAGACATAATCAGGACTGCCATGCTTTCAATTCATTTTAAATTCTCTCGAAGTAGGGCTGTCTTTAAGTAACATGAACTTTATTTTACGAGTTGATCGTTAATGCCGTCCTGAACTTATCAATACTTTATATACTCTTCTACATCAGCCTCTTACCTATTTCTTTACTTTCACCATGACAAACAGGCGTAACGGTTAAAGTGATGATTTGGATTTTCTTATCTTAAACTTTCATTTTTCTTGATAAAAAAATCCCTGCGCCCTAACCCTGTGGTATTTGCATGCTACTGTTAATTTCCCAGTGCTTGTTTCGAATATCACGATTTTCTTAGATGCCGACTGCTAACCGGCAAACTTCGAACACATGGTTTGGAGAATTGCAGGTTGATGAGACTCTCGGCAGGTTTAAGGTTGCCATCAATATCTCATTTGGAAATATTTGTACTTTTGTGTGTTTTGACGGCTGATATTTCAATAATGCTAATACGTTTGCTTTGTTGTCTGGTGTCATTTCGAGGACATGACATCAGTCTAGATTTTGACATAGATTTAACATGGCTGGTGTGGTCGAAGAAGCAGAAAATATTTAGCATTCCGGAACACCTGGGCTTATTTTCCTGTATTTATTCAATTGTCCCCACTTACATCTCTCTCTTGTTCATATTTGTCATGATTTTATCGATTTGGTGTTAGTATTACGGTTTTGTTGACATTCTGCATTGATTTTATCTTTTTTTAAATTACATTTTGTTAGACAAATATTAGACATCATGGCGAAATGATTCCTTAAATATCTATTTATTATAGAAGAGTAACTAATATACCGTTGGCAGGGAGGTAATTGTAGTGAAATCAGCTGTAATTACACTTGTGTGTAATATATGAAAAAAAAATTTGCACGTGACAACCCAGCTCTATCGGTGTTGTAACATTATAACATAATATAAATCCCTATTACGAGCACAATCTGTTTATAGATTGTATAATGTCTTGGCATCAACCATAAAAAATAGACCTTTGCATATGCTCAATTGCCAATGGTGTTGGTTTTTAAACCTGGTTTGTTGTATGTGGCTTTTTCACGTTTCACGGTAACTTAAATCGCTGGTAGTGATGTAATTACATGTATGTTAAATGGTGCCTTTTTTGTTTGCAATATCGTATTTTTGGTTCGCGGCGACCTAAATTGTTCTCAATGGTAATGCATGGTTTTACGGTGTTTTAAATGGATGGAAGGAGAAGAGTATCGTTTCAAGGTGACTTCATTGGCAGTGGACCATTTATTCCTAACCATAACTTAGATTGCGGCCAGTGGTTTTGATTGTACGTGGTTATCTACTTCTTACATTGCTACACCACTGCTTACAATCAAGTCAAACGTAGCTACACCACTGCTTACCATCAGGTAAAACGTCGCTACATCACTGTTTACAATAAGGTCTAACGTAGCAACACCACTGCTAACAATAGCTACACTACTGCTAAAAATCAAGTTAAATGTTTCTACAGCAATGGTTACCATCAATTCTAACGTCGCTACACCACTGTTTACAATAAAGTAAAACATAGCTACACCATTGTTTACAATGAAGTCAAACGTAGCTACACCACTGCTAACAATCAGGTATAACGTAGCTTCACCACTGCTAACAATAAGAAAAAAGTAGCTACACTACTGCTAACAATCAAGTTAAATGTTTCTACACCACAGCTTACAATCAAGTCAAACGTAGCTACACCATTGCTTACAATCAAGTCAAACGCAGCTACACCACTGCTCACAATCAAAACATCGTATCTACACCACTGCGTACAACCAAGTAAAACGTCGCTACACCATTGTTTACAATAAGGTCTAACGTAGCAACACTACTGCTAACAATACGAAAAAAGTAGCTACACTACTGCTAACAATCAAGTTAAATGTTTCTACATCACTGCTTACAGGCAAGTCTAAAGTCGCTACGCCACTGTTTGCAATGAAGTCAAACGTAGCTACACCACTGCTAACAATCAAATCAGAAGTAGCCACACCACTGCTCACAATCAAATCAAACATAGCTACACCACTGCTAACATTCAAGTCTAACAGTCTAACGTATTCACACTACTGCTTACAGGCAAGTCAAACGTTGCTTCCATCTGTTTACAATCAGGTCCAATGTCGCTACACCACTGCTAACAACCATGTTAAGCGTTTCTTCACCACTGCTTACATTTAAGGCAAACGTCGCTACACCACTGCTTACAATCAAGTCTAACGTAGCTTCACCACTGCTAACAATAAAGAAAAAAGAAGTTACACTACTGCTAACAACATGTTAAGCGTTTCTTCATCACTGCTTACATTTAAGGCAAACGTCGCTACACCACTGCTTACAATCAAGTCAAACGTAGGTACACCACTGCTTACAATCAGGTCTAACGTAGCTACACCACTGCTTACAGGCATATCTAACGTCGCTACACCAC